TTAACCCCTTGGGGACGGGTGATTCAAAAATGCATTCGTACAAAATCAGAATCAGGATGTAATTAAATAAAAAACGGTAGCTTAAATACAGGCATTGCTAATTTAACAGACTTACTTTGCTGTGACTTTAATTACTGTTAATTTAATCAAATATATAATCAATGATAGTTCAAAGTATAACTAAATAATTTTATTTTGAACAAAATAATGGTGAATTGAGTAAATCAAACAATTATAACCCCGCCCACAAATAAACTGCTAAGTAATTACCTTGATTACCAGTTTTATCTTTTTACCCTGGTTGATACGGTTTTATTCTGGCACGTATTTGTGACAGTCGGCGCGAAAGGGTTAACTTTGCATAGGGTTTGTCTTAACGCCTTCTAAACCTTAGGGACACGGTAACCAATTTTCGCGCCTGTACTGAGAAGTTCAAATAGCGCTAAGGTTAGATTTATGACGAGGCCATAATCTGTCTAATGTTCCATAATTCTTATATTCCAAAATAATTTCTCACTAATTCAAAACACATTCATAGGAAGCAGAAAAATGGTTGACTACATCAAATACAACTTCCAACAAGCTACACAAGCAGTTCCTTCAAAGGCATGGTCATCGATGCATAAAGGAAATAAGATCTTATTTTATGAATAAATTTTGATTGATAAATAATTTATTTCATATACACTCGACTGAAAATCGGCAGAATGAAATAACTTATACCAGCGACTTTAAATCTGATCATTTTATATAATAGTGATCATGGAATATTCGTTTTACTTAGTCTATCTATGTTTGTTTGTTTTTTTCAGTTCGACATTTATTCCACACTCCTCGGGGACAGAACCAAAGTATTTTTGTAAAACTCTTACAGGTAAGTAAACTTTATTTGAGTTGCAATTTTCACTGAAAGAAGTGATAAAAACTTCAAAATATTAATATTTTACAAAAGGTTTATATCTTATCTGATATAAATACCTAGATGTAAAATTTTCTGTACCCTGGGAAATTATTATTCTTTTGAAATGAAATGTTTCAATATGCTTAATAATTTATGTGCAGAGATGCCAACTGCTCCGGACTGGCCAAAATAATTAAAAAAGCGGTAAATAACTACAAAGTAAATTTTGCAAATATTTAACTATTTTTGCTTGCTTTTTAAAGGGCATAGCATAGCATATGCGTCATAAAGCGGTGAATTATATAAGCCTACGAATTATTTAGAAATAGGGGTGGATAAAAATCTACTAAATTGAATTTATTAAACCAAGAATCGCAATTGATAAACTACCACTTTAAAATATATATTTGCTGTCCGGAGCAAGTTGGCATCTATGCATTTAACAGCACATTTATTTACAGACCTTGTCTTCATCAAGGCTGAAAGCCCTTATACAACAAGACGGAAACGAGTAAAAACTGGTATGAAAAACTTTTCATTCTAGCATTTTTTTCGAGAAAAATAAAACATATGTAACTATCAAGATTTATTTTATAATTTTAACATACATATAAAACTGCTTCTTTTTCCAATATAAAGTAGATATTGTTGAATAGTTTGAAAAAAATGAATAAGTAAACTCCTCCCAAAAGCTAGCTATAATTGAAATGGTTTTGCTACCAGCCTTTTCTCTTTTCCATCTCGTTTTCAGTCCTGGTCCTCATGAGCAAAAGAAGAGACTGAAAATTCTGAAGAAAACTTTTGGAAAATATTTTCTGAATTACAAGTTCCTTTAAATGTCTTATACAGGAAAAGCATCCACCTAACCCGTAAGTCTTTCCTATCTTTGAACTTTTCAGAATCAGTTATAGGCTAGATCTTAGATGGAGTTTTCTTTTTCAGCTAGTGAGCAACTAATTTAGTTAGTTTGGCTAAATTATGGTTTATTATTTTTGGATACTCATTGTGCCATTTTCTACCTTTATTTTAAAAAGAGCTTTTAATCATTGTTTCGATTTTTGAATTTTTTTTAAGGTCCACCCTCATAATTGTATCTGGCCGACAGATGAGTTGACCCCTCTTTCAGGGGCACCGTATCAAGTGTGCCAACGTTACCCACATTAAAAAGCAGGGAAGAAAAGGAAAGAATATCTATGACTCTAACCCATAGATTCTCAACCTTTTTAACGTTACCGCCCCGTTAACGAGCAAAAAACATTTCAACACCCCCCTTTGTGAAAATCCAGTTATTAAAAGCATGGGGACGGAGGGGATGTGCTGAATTAAAAGAAGCAACATTTTTAAGCAATTTTTAAGAGTTAAATTTGATTGTTTTTTTAAAACAAAATTACGTTATCTCGATACTTTTCTCCCGGAGGGTAATCACCATAATAACCATAATTTGTCATAATAAAAATAAATATGCGGTTATTAAAAATACAACAAAGAAAACTAAGCTTAAAAAGAGTCATTTGTTCTCAATTAGATAATTAAAAAACACCCAAGAGTAATTTGTTTACCCTAAAAAGTAGTATCAACGCAACAAATCAAGTATGTCATTGGGATGACTATTCTTGATGGTTCAAAGCCAGTTTCTTAACGTTCGGTCCAACATTTCTAGTGAGGTGAAGACGTAAGTCCCCTCGTTGCACGATTTCATGTCGATTTCTACGTTTTGTAACTAGATCCGTAACAGCACTAATCCATGTTCGACAAGGTAGGAGAAAGTGAAGGAAATTAAAAAGTTTTTAGCATATTGTACCGGTGTGCCACACTTTGTCAAATGCTTTTGAGTTGTTGATCATTGGGAATACTATTGTTTCTTTGCTTACTATTGCTCTTCCGGTGTAGTCTATTATTCGCTGTTTGGTTGTATCTAGTTTTTGTCGGAATCCATATTGTTCATCGGGAAGGGCTGTTAAAAGTGGCTTGATTCTGTTGTAAATTATTTTTTCATAGATTTTTCTAATTATATTTAGTAGACTGATTGGCCTGTAACTCTCAGGGCAAATTGGGTTTTTGTTTTTCCTGAGAAATATAATGACTGGTGCATTTTTCCTGATTTGTGGGTAGTGATTTAATGCAAGGCAGCTATTGATGATATACGTGATCTTCTGAATATAGTTTGATGGCAGCAGTTTCATCATTATATTTTTGATTCCGTCTTCACCTGGAGCTTTATTGTTTCTTAGGTTTCGGATGAAATTAC